CACTATGTTTATCCGTCTCCTCAGGCAAGAAAGGAGTCTCACAATGCAACGAAGTAATAGGATGCAGGGTAGCCATATTGTCAGGGGTTTTCCTAGATACATATAAAATTTCCTAGTAGAAAACTATAGGAGCATAATTGTGTGTATATATACACACAAACACATCTTGTCCATTTTGAATATGATTATTGTGAATATTTTTTATATGTAAAATATTTTTTAAACTAAAAATTGATGACCATAAACATATAGAAGGTGCTGTGTATCCATTTTCATAGCATGTAGGTCCTAATGTAGAGATACATCTATGCAGCAATATAGTCTGTCCAGCCACTAATTTTGATATACTAATCATATTTAGTAGGAATTAAAGCCAACCCAAGCCTCTTCACTCACTAATTTGAGGTGGGAGGAGGAGGACAGGTTAGCCCTCTTCCTTCTGTTCTTAGATTGTCATCAACCCACTGTTTCCTTGGATCCAAGTTCAGCATCAATAACGGCATCCACTCCAATTGCTTCCATGGAGAGATCCAGTACTAGGAATCACATGATACTGCACTTTTTTGTGCTCAACCAATTTTCAATATAGTGGATGGCAACTGTTCACATCCTCTATGTCGATTGGCAATATGTTTAAACTGAGAATGCTTATAACTGCAAAAAAAAACCCTAGCGTTAACATGCAATTGAACTGTTGGCTAAAAAAGTGTGGAACCTCTAACATTTAATCACATCAGCAACAAAGAATTGCACTGGAAAGCTTCTCTGGATCTCAGGAGGATTCATAAATTAACAAAGAACACATCAAAAATGTTAATTTTGTTCAAAGAAAGTAATTAAAGTTTTCTTCTAGGGCTGGCTAATGTAGGACCTTTAACTCACCCTTCTCTCCTGGAAAGAGATTTGATTAGTTCAATATATGCTAGATTTCTGGAATAGGAACTTACTGCCATCTACTTGCAATGTCAATTGATTACTAATGCTTATTAACATTTAAAACGAAGTAGATTTGATCACTGCAAAACCTGCAAGAAAGGTTGCTTTTTAAATTGTCTGACAGAAGAGATTGGTGATTCATTTTCACTTGGGTGAAAGAAGTTCTTTTGGAGAAATGAGGATGAATAAACACATGAATGGAATATGAGATTTAACAGGCAAATACTTATGGGCTCTCTCTTGTTATGTTGTTTTCAATCAATCGTGATTGAATTTTATGTTGCCAGTGTATGTTAGATTTTCAATCTACCAATGTAGGAATAAGGACATCAAAAAAGAAACTGTTGTGTTTGCAGTCTGGAATTAGTAATGTAAAAAGACAATGAAAGCTCAGTACATGGTCTGCAAGGGGATATGAACAGAGACTACCTCTGCTATTAAGCATAGCAGAGCCTGGTGGCAACAATCGTGTGTGTGTGTGTGTGTAAAATTTATACCCCACCCATCTGGCTGGGTTTCCCCAGCCATTCTGGGAGCCTGACAGCACATAAAAAATTGTAAAACATTAGACATTAAAAATTTCCTGATACAGGATTGCCTTCAGATGTCTTCTAAAAGTCAGATAGTTGTTTATTTCCTTGACATCTGATGGGAGGGCATTCCACAGGGTGGGCACCACTACTGAGAAGGCCCTCTGCCTGGTTCCCTGTAACCTCACTTCTTGCAGTGAGGGAACCACCAGAAGGTCCTTGGAGCTGGACCTCAGTGTCCGGGCTGAATGATGGGGGTGGAGATGCTCCTTCAGGGTCATCACTGGGCCATCAGTGGCTACCAATGATGCTGAATTATCTGGAAATGGCGCACATGTTAAGTGCTTGGCATGTCAGTGTGTGAAAAGCATACTTCTGCCTCTTCACTTTTCAATACTCATTGAAATAAGGAACTATTCTGACCTTCCATTATAGCTTTCAGATGAAGTTTACAAGCAAATGTTTCAGCCAACTAACAAATGACTGAAGTGAAGAGGTTAATGAAAACTCTTTTATTCCCCAGACCACTGATGAACCTTGGTGTTGTTGACATTTGGCATTTTTTTTCTAACCCCTTGATTTCACCAAGCTTGCCTTATTATGTCTCCATAAAACTAGAGAATGACAGCTGGTGTGTTTGATGGAAAGAAGTTGACTTTGGGCTCTGTGTGTCTGGGGTTTTTTCTCCCACCACTACAGCTACCATTTAAGGCTTGTGCCTGATAAGTGTGGCAGTCTTTGGCGTGAGACAAAGGGCAAGAGTTTCAGCTGAGGGTAAGCAACTGGAACATGAAACACTGATGGAGAAGACACTTACGGAGCATGAGGTGGAGACCAGGAGAATGGGTTTGCGGGAGAGGCAAATGATTCCACATGAGCAAGCTTTACTAGTCTGATCACTGCTGAGCTGTAGCAGAACTATAGGAAAGGGACCTTGGTCCAGTGTCTGTATGTTTATGAGCCAGAGCTCTCTTGGACTTAGAGGTGATTTAGCTTCTATCTTAAATTCGGAGTTGGGGGACCGTAATACCTGGTGGCCTTGGTTCACTGACCCCCTGGATGACCATAATATCCCTGGTACCACCTACTCCTCCATGCTCTGCTTCTTGGAGATGCCACAGCCTCCTCTGTGATACTGAAACACCACAGCTGCAACTTCTACAACACTAAGGTAACAGCAGAAGGGATTTCTAAGGTGCTTTCTGAAGACACCCTACCAATTGCTTCAACTGCAGAGAGGTCATGATCTGCAGTAACTGCCATCTTCCCATGCATTTACAATAGCTAGTCTTGCTGCAAATGTTAGACTAAGACCGAGCAATACAAAAAATTGCCCTTCTGTGTTCTTTGAACAGCTGCTTGCTTTATTTCTAAGAGGTCTTGTCCACTTTTTCCCTGCCAGGATCCCTGTATAAATTGCTATGTGACAGGCAGTGATTCATATGGTGAATATTTTTCCAGCATAGAGATGGGAATACTCCCCCTGATGAATTTCTCTCTGCCACACAGTTGTTAAAGGCAACAGTGCCCCTGCCTAAATTAAGAGAGGTAACTGTGTGTGTGAATAAACATACATAATAAAGCCACTTTGGGTTTTCATTTGGAGGAAAAGAAGGGTACATTATTTATAAACCACTTCTTATGGTATAGGATCCTGGGTCTGTGAACATACATAATAAAATAATAATAATAATAATTAACAATTGAGTCATAATTATTTTGATAATTATAAATATGCTGGAGGAAAACACTAAAATGAAATACTTTTTTCTCTGTCCACATTGAACTGGATACCATATATCATTATAAACTAAGGCACCTATGCAGAAAACTGAAACTCCAAACCTGAGTCATGAACAAACTGGGCTTTCGCTAGGTTTTGTCAGATTTGGCATCAGTTTTGGTCTTACAAGAGACCACTACAGTTAACATTCCCTACAAATTCTCAGTCTCAACACTACACTCTGCAGCAATGTGTGACAGCTGCCAAAAGCAATTGCCGTTAGCTGTGCAGGACTTCGTCTGTAAGCAGGGAAGAGTGAGAAAACTGCCAGATACAGGGAGCTGTATTTTTCGAGAGGAGCAATAAAAAGGCATCTGTCCTGATTAACTGGGCAATAAGCAGCACTGTGGAACAACAACAAATCCAGCATTTTTTCCAACCATTCTCCATCAAGTAATGAGAAAAGAAACTGCATTTGAAAATTATCGAAAGGGTAAGAAAATTTTGGTAAAATCATCATGGGGGTGAGGGGGTGCAGGGTTTGTGTCCTACTTATCTTACCTTTATTTAGAAAAAAATGTAACCTGTGTAATAAATCTCTAAGCAGTATGTATAAAATAATATAAAACAATTATCAGTAATACACATATAAAAAGCAGCAAAAATATTAAAACAACGTATATGTAATTAGACTATATGTCTAGGTGGATTTCTGGCTCTGCAACAGTTTTTATGCAGATGTGTAAAACAGTAAAGCAAGGGTTTCCTACTATTGTTAATATGTAGGGAATCCCAAAGCATAAATAGAAGGATTCCTTACAGATACAGAACCAAAGTCATATAGCACTTGGCAGGAATCTCCTGAAAAGGAGCTCCCATAAGAAACCAATCTCAGAGGGTCTTCCAGTTGGTGCCAAATTTAAAGCCTCAGTTGCTCAAGGAATCACAGAGCACACACTCAGAGGCTCCCAAACATTTCCTTGCAGCTGCATCTTTACTTGTTGCACACCTGACATCATTATGTTACAGGCATGGGACAGGCATGGGACTTGCAAAACAGAGCCTCATGGGCCAAATTAGAACCTTTGCTGTGTCTAATTTGGTGCACAGGCAAGAGGTTTCCCACACATGGCTTACTAGAAGGAAACACACACACACTTCAGCACTTTGCAACACTACAGTGAACTCAAAACCCAGCACCCACTTACATTATATAGTGCCCTGAGAATTAAGCTGATTAATGAAAGCATAAGGAAGCAGAGGACCAATGGTCAGATTCAGTATAAGGCAGCTTCCTATGTTCTTATGTAGGACAGCACTAGCATAGCTGCTGTGCAACCCAGTCATGATACTCCACCTGGTTTGAAAGAATCCTGCTAATAAATTAGGCAGCTCCAAAGGTTTATTGAGCAAACAATAAAGTGTTATAGAACTATAATGCATTGTAGCTGTATATAATACATCTATACCTACACACAAGCCATTGGCAAAAACAAAACAAACAAAAAACCCCAAGTCAAATATTCTCAGGAGATAAATGCCGGCTTAATAACACGTACAGGGAGAATAACACTGATATATTTCAATATTGTGTGCAGGGTCTGTTCTGCCTTATGTGATTACGTGCTCACCTTGCAAGCTTATTTATTGTTTCATGCACTGATCTGCAAGTCTACCTTTGTATCATTTGTCTCTGTCTATCTATCATATAGGAAAGATATATAGTACTTTGTAAATTCTGAGCCCATAAAAAGGAGTTACCATAGCAACAGAGCATTCTTGTTTTGTATAAACAAGAAGCAGACGACAGAGGTCAGTAACATGGATAGCACATCAAGTCTTCTCCAGAGAGGTGTTTCTCATGTCCTATTAAGTTGCTTTTAGATAATTAATCAGAATTCTATCATCTAGCTGGACATGTTACATGCAATTTATTTGTTTGTTTTCAGATGAGTAAGTGGGGTCTCTTGTTCAAGTTCAGACTGATGAAGATGTAATTTGATGTCCACCTTTCTAGCTGAACTGACTGGAAGATGGTGAAATGGAGAAAAGACACCTAGCGCAACCTCTAATCATGCAAAAGTCAAGCCTTGTTGAAGTCATCCCGACTCCTCTCACTTTCAACATTCCCTATGCTGCAATTCATCTTCACAGTTCCAACTTGGTCCATACACATCCTGGTACAGGAGGGTTACTATGAGCAAGGCTACTTCCAGCCAAGTGTTTATTTCATGAAAGCCATGGGGGGGCGGGGTTGCAACATCCACACAATGACAATGGCATCAAAGTGCCAGCTCTTGAAGGCCACTTGCTCTTTAAGGGATTGAGGTAAATTGTTGGATGTGTAAGTTCTATAGTGCTGCACTGCGTTTAACTCAGCAGATCTATCACTTGCAGGGATAGCAAGTGGGAAGATGGAGATGGTGCCTGTCTTTTTAAAACCTTTGTGGTACCAAGAAATAATGCAATTCCTTACCCTCCTCTCACTGCTGCTGTGTCAAAACTAAAATTTTACAATGTAAGTAAATGGCAGAGGTGAGGGGGCACCCCAAGAGAAGTTCTTATGAACTGGGAATTATGAAGAAACTTTGACCATATTCTTGCCTTCTTTATTACCCATGAGCAATTATTGACTCCATTCACAAGGCCGTTTATTCAATTTCCCTGACATTCCTCTAACTATTAGTTTCCACATTATATTTTAGCTTCCACCCAATGTACAAATCACTTCTGGAAATCTAGCAGAATATAGTGGAAGTTTAAGCACTGAGTTTAAGCATTTCTGTGTTAACTGCTTCTGGAAATAAACCATTTGCAACCCCCACTCACCCAGAAAATAGCAGGAGAAAACTGATGGCATTTGGGGCTGTATACTGGTATATGGTTATTTTCTGACATTTTCATGAGTGAATCATGGGGAGAACAGAAGAAAGGACATGTGAAAAAGGGTAGGGGAGTAGCAATGTTGTTCTATGACATTCATTGTGCCACTCTATGCCTGCCAATGTGAAAGTTAGCGTGACGTGCTAAATATAGGTCAAAAAGCCAGAGTTCCATAATGCAACAAGTGCAGCAGGGTGAAAGGAATATTCATGAACAGGACAGAAGTGCTAGCATTATAATCAGGAAAACTAACGCAATATTCCCCATGTCTGCATGCCCCCATTCTAGCTCTCTCAACAGGTGTTGGGAACATTTTGATAGATCAACAGGCTACTTCAAGGGATGGAAGGTATCATGACAATTTTCACTGGGCTTATTTTTCATATGTGTACACCTTTCCCATAGGTTAATACTGCCATACAATCAACATGTCCTGACACTGCCATTGTTAGAAGCGGAAAGCAGCCCTTAAGGATTCCTACATTATGATTTTCATTAGCAAGTGATAAATTTCCTGGAGTACAGATCTTGTTTCATATTGATCGTGGTGGGGAAAAGAAAATTACAGTGGCTGAACTTCAACATGCCTTTCAGAAAGAAACTTGGCAATCCAGGTAAGCGAAAGTAACTAAACCTCTCTCTCTCTCTCTCTCTCTCTCTCTCTCTCTCTCTGTGTGTGTGTGTGTGTGTGTTTTCTTACCTTTTCTATTGCTGCTCCTTATTTCAGGCACTGTCTACCACTTGCTTCTAAGAGAAACCTCAGTGGATCTTCATCCTGACCTTGTAACTTCTCCTCTTCCATCTGCTGCTAAATTCACACTGTGTGAAGATTTGTAGGTATACCAAGTCTCACTCTTGGGGAATAAGATCCTTTCCGGCTTGCTGCTCTATTCAGTTCTTTCACACTGTTCCTTAAAAGAGCAGAGATTTCAAGAGCATTTCATAAACTCTCTGAATGCTTTTGTGCATGATTTCTTTTCCTTATTTCTCTTATTTTAAAAAGACTTTTAAGTTGGCAGCACTGTGAAGTTGGCAACTGAGTGCTACAGTAGGGTTGCCAACTAAACAGAAAAAAATGGCCTGACTTGCTGCTGCTGCACTGTTAATTGTAGCTTGATGTAGAATGTTACAGGTGAAGCTTTTAATGGAGATAATAATGTTTATCTTCTAGCACACATCAGGCTGCTGTTAATGGCACAGCTAAAAAGACCCTCTGCAGCTAACAAATTTCTAGACCAGTTTTGTATGTGCAAATCACTTATACTCTTCAGTCTACGCAGCCGAGAACTAGGAAAACTGGAACTAGGAAATACCATCCAGATAATAAAAGAAACTGGTAAACAGATTTTACCATGGTGGGAAGAACTGTTTCAAGTAATAGACCTAATTTATCTCCTGCATTTGGGAGCAGAAATGGATATGTCACCCCAGTCAGTTTTGCTAATGACTTGGCATGGCCTTTAGACTTTTTGTGGCCTAACAAGGTTAAGTCACACCATCCTTCTTTGGCCTCCTTACCACCACCTGTGGCACCACCAGGAAATGGGACACACATTTCTCTGATAGCAGCAGACATTTGCTTTTAATTTTTTTATCTTGCCATATGGGTCAGCTGATCTCTTGTTGTGACTTAGAACCTTAATGACATACAATAATACAAATCCTAAGCCAAAATATTTTTAAAAATAGCAAAAGTATGTAATCAAAATATTAAAAACAGCACGGAGATATAAATTAATAAAAAATAGAAGTTAATCTCCAGGTAAGTTGTATCACTAGCTTTAAAATAAATCAATTACTCTCTCATCTGCTAGAAGAGAAAGGTCTGTATAATCTTTACAACAGAGCAGGCTTGATGTATTTCTATGAGCAGGGAGTTCCAGAATACAGGTAATAACATTCAAGCTTCATGAAGCATCTGCTGTCAGTGGTTCGATTAAATAATTTTAGGATCTGGACTCAACAGTCTTAAAAGGTAAAGGGACCCCTGACCATTAGGTCCAGTCGTGGCCAACTCTGGGGTTGCGGCTCTCATCTCGCTTTATTGGTCGAGGGAGCCAGCGTACAGCTTCCGGGTCATGTGGCCAGCATGACTAAGCCACTTCTGGCGAACCAGAGCAGCGCACAGAAACGCCGTTTACCTTCCTACCTATTTATCTACTTGCACTTTGATGTGCTTTCGAACTGCTAGGTTGGCAGGAGCAGGGACCGAGCAACGGGAGCTCACCCCATAGTGAGGATTCGAACCACCAACCTTCTGATCGGCAAGTCCTAGGCTCTGTGGTTTAACCCACAGCACCACCCGTGTCCCTCAACAGTCTTACAGGAGGCTAATTAATTCAGGGACTGCCAACCTGATGCCTGTGGGCAAAGATTTTCATTGACATTCCCAGACACAACCCTAAGACTCTGAGCTTCAATATTTATTAAAAGTAAATTTCTAGTCCCCCTAGAAAGAAAAGTAGGAAGCAAGATGTGCAGGTACTCTTCTGAATGATTTCTGTTAAATGAACTAGCCTAGTTACAACCAGGTGTTTTTTTCCAGTCCATGAGTTAAATAGGAGCTATGATTGATAAGTGAATTGTTTGAACACCAGGCAATGATGCTAACTTCCAGGTAAGTGGATACAGGATGGCAGCCTGAGCTTTGGTTTAGGGTTGGCACTGGGGAGAAACAGAGTTAAGCCTTTGCTAGCATGCAAATACAGTTATGGGGAAAGCTTCACAAACACTGTATGCTAGATTGGCACTGGGGGAAATTGTGTCTTTAACAGCTATATAACCATCAGGGCCAATAGGATTTATCATGGAAAGCAAAGTGTTATTTGTGTATAATTTCAATTAATTCAGAATGTGTTAAGTTGTTAAGTGACACTTGGGCTATGGTGGCTCATGGCAGGGCCTTTTCAGTGTCTTCCCCCAGGAGGTTCAGATTGCCTCCTCACTGGGTAGCTTTTACTGGAATATGAAGACCCGTCAGCATTAGTAAGTAACCAAATTGTTCAGGCTTAAATGTACTGCTATTGTTCCTGTTTTTAGTGATTTTTAAATATATATATATTTATTCAATTGTCCTTTATACATAGCCTCAGTATACACTGTACTGCCACCCAGCAACCATTCTGATGAAGGATGGCTGATCAATTAATAATAATGACATTTTAAAAATCCTTTTTTAAAAAAAAAAAAGCACTGTGAAAATAAAACCAAAACAGAGCTGGAAATAAGAAGCATTAATGGGTGCAACTGACATGCTGTATTAATTGGACTATGATTGATTTTTATTTCTGCAGTCTACACTAAAACTTTACACCACATGCCAGCAAAACAACCTGAATTTTCATTGTGTAAAACTAAAGAAACCTTAACAGCAAAGTGCCTCACTAAAGCTTAGGAACGGATGTGGACCACTTGGGGTGGTTTTGTTCAGATAAGAACACCTGTGGGTTGGCCCTATTCTGCTGCACGACTTCACTTACTTGGCTTCAAGCACTGAAAACAAAGAGCCCTACATGCATTTGGAGGCATGGGGAGGACAAAATATGTAGCACCACCCTGAGCCATTATGGAATGAACACAAGAGCAATTTCAGCTGAATGGCAATGACTTAACTCAGTTCCCACTGCCTAAATTGGTGTGAAGCACTTTTCTGCAAAACAGGTGGTCTATAGTCAGGGCCATGTGCTTTACAGTTCCTCTGTATAGGTGCAGAATGTGGTATTACAGATAGGATTAGCATCTTGAGAAGCCCAACTTTCATTTAAGAATTTTTAGAAAACTCAAGTTTCTAGCCCTTATGGCTACACATATAGGTCTGAAACTGCTTGGACAATGGCACAAAGTGTGGTTTGCAGTGCGTGAGATGAAGTGCTTCAGCACCCTGTTAGCTCCGTGGTCTTCGCCACAGCTATCAAAAGTACATTACACAAATAAGCAAGCCTATGTAAAAACTCCTTAATTTATCCAGGTGATAGGATTCATAATTATCCTCAACCTCTCAGTGGATTTCAATACCATTGACTATGGTGTCCTTCTGGAGCAACTGTCTGAGTTGCAGGTGGGTGGCCCTGCTTTGCAGTGCTTCTGGTCCTACTTGGATGGTCATTTCCAGAGGGTGATGCTTGGGCAGTGCTCTTTGGCCCTGTGGAGACCCCTGTGGGGTCCTCATAATTTGATTTTAGCCCCTATGCTGTTTTAACATATACATGAAACAGCTGAGTGGGGTCATCTGGAGCTTTGGAGTACGTTGTCAGCAATATGTTGATGACACACTACTCTACTTCTCCTTTGCATCTGCTGGTGTGACAGCGGATGTGCTGGACTGGTGTCTTACCTCAAGTAATGGACTGAATGACAGCCAATAAACTGAGGCTCAATCCAAACTGAGGCACTGTTAGTGGGAGGATCCCTAGACTGGATGGATAGAAGGCTGTCTGCTCTTGATGGGGTTACACTCTCTCTGCAGTAGCGGGTATGTAGCTTGAAGGGTACTCCTGGATCCTTTGCTGTTGCTTGAGGTTTCGGTTGCCTTGGCACAGAGTGCTTTCCATAAGCTTCAGTGGGTGGCCCAGCTGTGCCCCTGTCTGGACAGGGATAGCCTGACTTCTATCATCTATGCTCTGGTAACCGCTAGATCAGATTACTGCAATGCATTATGAGTGGGGCTACCTCTGAAGACGGTTCAGAGACTTCAGCTGGTTCAGAATTTGGCAGGCAAACAAAAGTAATGGAATGCAATTTTCTGATTTTCTGCATTGTGAGTTTCTTCCTTCACTCGAGTTGAGTGGGTATAGGATACAAGAGAGCGCACATCCCCTTTTCACGGCATAAATTGATGTGTAGGATCGCTTGGCCCCCCTCCTACAAAGAACAACCTAAACTGAATAAGAATTGAATTGCATAGAGTATTCCTTCCCAATCATCTTGTCTTGGGAGTAAGCTGGAAGAACGGTTGTATGACATGACTTATTTATAAATCCATTACTTTCGTGGTGCACCTAAGTACCACTATGAAACACGCCCACACAGACTCTCTCTCTCTGTAACCATAGTAGCAGCCTCCAGTTTTTCTCTTGTCTCTTTTCACTTTGGAAAGTAGCACAGTAACCACAGAGCTTTTTCCAAATGAAGGTGATGCAAATGAATTAAAACAGAGGAGGAATATATCTGTCTACCCCTCTATCACAACAGCTAGCTGAGAATTGCATTTAAATAATGCATCCACACACCACTAACTCTAACATATTTTGCTTTCTCCCACGTAAAGGTACACCCAGGTATGCATCTTTCACATCATGAACATAACATTCATGAAACAGTAACTGAATTGTGCCTAAAACTGACTCACCTTTTATTGTATCTACTAAGGGGAAATGCACATCAATAGCTATTGGAGAGAGTCTGCCTCAAGCAGATCCAAAAGATGGGAGCTTCCCCAAGCTGAGTCTTTCACCAGGAGCACAGGTAGCCAAAATGGTGTCCTCCAAATGTTGCTGTCCCATCAATTCTGACCAATGGCAATGGCTCCTGGTGGGAGCTGTAGCCCAACAACATCTGGAGAGCGCCATTTTGGCAAACCTTGATCAACAGGTGGAGGAGCCTCCTGTCCCATCCCA